GGAGGAGGAGGAGGAGGAGGAGGAGGAGGAGGAGGAGGAGGAGGAGGAGGAGGAGGAGGAGGAGGAGGAGGGAGGGGGTGGCCGTGGCCGGGCCTGCCGCCGCAGGAGCAGCTGTGGGCCTGGAGCGACGAGGCCACCGCGCGCGCTGACGGCGAGCCCGCCGTGGAGGCGCAGCGGCGGGCCCTCGAGGCGCAGCGGCGCGGCGGCAAGGGGCGCGGCGGCGGCGCCTCGACCGGGAAGGGCCGCGCGGCCTCCGCCGAAGAGGCAGAAAAGTAGCCTGCAGCTGCAAGTGCCGCATGGCGGGGCCACGAGCCATGGGAGGGGCGTGCCCACGTCATTGGGCGCGGTGGTGCCATGCGCGCCATCCCACTGGAGCCTTCGGCGGAGCATCCTCGGGGGCCACGAGACGTGTGAGGGGGTGTACCGAGCTGGGTTCGGTGGCGCCATGCGAAACCTCCCACTGGAGCCTTTGGCGGAACTCCCTATGGGGTGCGCCGAGATGAGGGTGGAACTGCATGCGAACCCTGCCAATGAGGCCTTCGGTGGAGCTCCCTAAGGGGCCACGAACCGCGTGAGGGGTGCGCCGAGATGAGGGTGGAACTGCATGCGAACCCTGCCAATGAGGCCTTCGGTGGAGTTCCCTACGGGGCCACGAACCGCGTGAGGGGTGCGCCGAGATGAGGGTGGAACTGCATGCGAAACCTGCCAATGAGGCCTTCGGTGGAGTTCCATACGGGGCCACGAACCGGGTGAGAGGGGCACCGAAATATGGGTGGAACTGCATGCGAACCCTGCCACTCAGGCCTTTGACGGAGCTCACTCCCTATGGGGCCACGAGCCGTGTGAGGGGTGCGCCGAAATGACGGTGGAACTGCATGCGAATCCTGCCACTGAGGCATTCGGTGGAGCTCCTATGGGGCTGCGAACCGTGTGAGGGTGCGCCGAGATGAGGGGGCAACTGCATGCGAACACTGCCACTGGGGCCTTCGGTGGAGTTCCTTACGGGGCCACGAACCGTGTGAGGGGTGCGCCGAAATGAGGGTGGAACTGCATGCGAATTCTGCCGCTGGGAGCTTAGGTGGAGCTCCCTATGTGGCCACGAAACGTGTGAGCGGTGTGCCAAAATGGGGCGGCCCCGCCATACTGACTGCGCGGGAGGAGGGGGGGGGGAGAACCGGGGAATGGGGCGACGCGCTATCCACATCCAACTCCCCGTCCCGTGCCTTTCCGATCCGTCCACCTCGCGGGGCGGAGCGAAACGCTACCGGCTTGCAAGACAGAGCGTGTCGCCAGGGCCGCCGCGGCGACACGTTGAGCAAAAGCTCCCAGCCTTATATGTAAAACCGGTACCGGTGCTCGTCCTGGGGAGCTTTCGTCGCCACGGTTGCATTCTCTTCTGATTTGGTCAGAACGCACCCCGGGAGGAGAGCTCTCGTCGCCATGGTTGGATTATGTTTTCTGTTTTGGTCAGGACCCACCCTGGGAGAGGTCCCGGCAGTAGCGGTATGGTTTTTTGTTTGCCCCCCTTGTTCCCCAGATAGCCTCTCAGGATGCAGCTCCAAAATCCCGAGGTTCTGGCTTTGAATCACTTTTATGATGGCAGTGCTCTTCGTAATCCCCCCGCCGCCTGGTGGCGGCCGAAAATGGCCTTCAGCTGGCAGCAGTTCTGGTCAAGGAGGGCTTGGGGTAGTCTCTCTCCCTTTCTCCCACTCTGTCTCTCTCGCTCTCTCTCTCTCTCTCTCGCTCTCTTTCTCTCGCTCTGCCGCATATCGCGTTTAGCTAGCAGCTACAGTGGCGCCTATTCGCTGCTCACCGCTCCCCCCCCCTTCTCCCGTCAGCGCCCCTCCCCCTGTCCCCCCCCCCTTCCGCACCGCCTCCGCTCTCGCCTCATGGTTCCTGCCCCCCCGTTCACCCTCTGCCCCCCCCCCTCCCACCCCCTGCCCCTCCTCCTCTACCTCTCCCCCCCCCCGCCCCCTCGCGCGAGAGGGGAGAAGATGTCCGAAACACCCCAGGGGCAGCCGAGTCCGGGGGGGAACAGCCAGCAGGGACTACCGCGTGTCAGACCACACGCTCCTGGCGCAGCGCAAGATTTTACGGCAGTGCTCTCCCGCGTCTCCTTTGTACGTTGGCGGCAAAAGCTGGAGACTGACCACAGGCTTCCTCCCCCTCCTCTCCTCTCCCTCTTCCTCTCCCTTCTCCCCCATCTGCTCCCCTCCGCGCTCTCCGCTCCTTCCTATCCCGCTCTTCCCTCTCCCGGTCCTTCCACCTCCTCGTCCTCCTCCTGCTCTCTCTCTCTCTCTCTTCCCCTTTTTTTTTGTTCTCTCTCTCTCTCTCTCTCTTTCTTACTGCAGGATGCAGACCATCAGGGGGCTAGAGGCTTTAGCTTGTTTGTAGTGTGAGTTCGCAGGCAACTTTTCTCCCCCAATCCCCGAGTCCCGCCCGAAAAGGTTGGCCGCTCAAAGAAAGGGGGAAGCCCTGGGATATACCCCAAGGGGGCTGTTCGGACGCACCCCCTATCGAGGATAGGCGCCCCCCCCACCGTGTATCCCAGGGTTGGGCCGTGTGCTCGGTCCACTCGAACACCCCACGAAGCCTGGGACTGGGGTCGACACATCCCCTGCGATGGGCAGCAGATACAGTCAAGACGCTGAAATGAGGCACTGTTTGGGTTCTGAAGGGGCTCGATGTTCCCCAGGCTCCTCCACTGCTGTGCCTCTCGCCCTCCTCGGGCACGGAGGCGCTTTTGGGGCCAGAAAGGGGCTTCGTTCCTTATTCGGTGTTCCTTCTTTCAGCGGCCCGACTGCACATCGTGCGCGAGCTCTTCCTGCACGTGCCCAGAGACGCCGCCGCCCGCCAACACCCCTCCGTGCCGGGCGCGCCGCCCTGGCGCGGCCTCCGCCTGCCCCTCTCTCCGCGCCCGCCTCCCCCCGGCCTCTCGGCCTGGCTCCTCCGCCGCCGCCGGCGCTGGCGTTGCTGCCGTCGCCGCTGCCGTCGCCACCGCCGTCGCCGCCGCCGTCGCCGCCGCCGCCACCGAGGTCTCGCCGTCACCGTCTTCGGCGTCGCCGTCGTCGCTGTCTCGCCGTCCTCGCCGGCGTCGTGCCGTCGTTGCCCGTCGTCGTTGCCATGGCTGCTGCTGCCGTCGGCGTCGTCCTCGTCCTCGTCCTCGTCCTCTTCGGCGTCGGCGTCGCCCCTCCCTCGGAGCGCCGAAGCCACCGGCGCCGTGCAGCTCCCGAGGCACTCCCGGGGGCCCGTGCGCCCGCGGCCGCGCGCTCCCGTGCCTGGGGCTTGCTGTGGCGCGTCCCCTCCCGCCCGCGCGGCCGCCGACGCACGGCCGCCCACTCTCGGTTCGGACGATAGGGGGGCCATGGGGAGAGAGAGGTCACGGGGAATCTGCCGCAGGACGTCCCAAAGAAGGCCCTGGAGGGCCTCGAGACGGCCCGAGAGGAGGCCGAGACGGCTCGAGAGGGCCTTCAGACGGCCCCAGGCAGGGCCCAAGAGAAGGAGCACGAAGGAGCACTTCGAGATTTCCGCCCCAAGGTGCTCCCAGATCGCCTCAGGAGGCCCAGGAGAGGCGACCCCGGGAGGCGACAAACTGTGTTTCTGTCAATTGAAACTGAACGTTCCCGTTGCATTCGGATTGCCATACTTCTGGCGCGCCAAAGACGCGTCGTAAACCACCACAGCACGTCCCGAAGAAGGCCCTGGAGGGCCCCAAGGCGGCCCGAGAGAAGACCAAGACGGCTCGAGGGCCCCCAGACGGCCCCAAGAAGGGCCACAGAGAGGGAGACAGCGGCACGGTGGCGGATATTTGTGTACATCGGTGATGTATATGTATATGCATGTATGGATAGATGTAGTGTGTGTGTGTGCTTGTACGTATGTGTGTATGTATGTATGTATGTATGTATGTATGTATGCATGTATGTATGTATGTATGTATGCATGCATGCATGCATGCATGCATGCATGTATGTATGTATGTATGTATGTATGTATGTAAGTATGTATGTATGTATGTATGCATGTATGTATGTATGTATGTATGTATGCATGCATGCATGTATGTATGCATGTATGTATGTATGTATGTATGTATGCATGCATGCATGCATGCATGCATGTATGTATGTGTATGTGTATGTATGTATGTATGTATGTATGTATGTATGTATGTATGTATGTGTGTGTATGTGTGTATGTATGTATGTATGTATGTATGTATGTATGTATGTATGTATGTATGTATGTATGTATGTATGTATGTAGGTATGTAGGTATGTAGATATGTATGTATGTATGTATGTATGTATGTATGTATGTTTGTATGTATGTATGTATGTATGTATGTATGTATGTATGTATGTATGTATGTATGTATGTATGTATGTATGTATGTATGTATGTATATATGCACGCATGCATGCATGGATGTACGTATGTCTGTATGTAATCATGTATGTCCGGGGGGGCGAGGCCCCCTGGCTGCGCCCACAGACCTCCGCGGCGCAAGGGGGGACTGGGGCCCCCTCGAAGGCCGTAACGAGGCGTCCAAGAGGCCTCAAGAGGCCTCCAGCCGTTTCGAAGACGCTCCCAAGAGGCTCCTTCAGGCACCCGGACCATGCAAGATCCCTTCCAGAAGGTCCACGAGGCCCCCAAAACGTCCCAAGAAGGTTGCTAAATGACCCCGAAGAGGGTCCCAGGAGGTTGCAATCGTCCCATTCATGTGAAAAACGTGCATGCTCAGTCTCTCTCTACAAGTGGCCCAACGTCCCAAGAGGGCTCCAAGATGGCACCCAAAAGGGTCCCGGGATGCTGAAATGGCCCCATTCCTTTGTGAAAAACAAGAAACATGTTCAGTGTCTATAAGTCCAGGGCTGCCCCAGCGTGCACCACGACCCCAGACGCCGCCAAGACCGCCCCAAAAACATCCCAAGAAGCCCCCAAGAAAGCCCGACTACGAGAGGACCTCTAGAAGGCCCAAGACGGCGCCAGGAAGGCACCTGCAGGCCCCCAGGGGAGCCCACAGAGCCCCAGACGCCCCCCCAAACTGCCGGAGAGCCCTCCAAAACGTCTTCAGGTCTCGTGTCCCAGCGTGGCCCGAACAATCTCCCAGGTGCCCCAGAGGCGCCACTCAGAGCACAGACGACGCCCCCCAGGTGGGCGACGACCCCGACATCGTCAACCATCAACCAAAGTATGGGCGCCTGCACGAACAGCTTCACCGAAGCAGCGCATCCAGCGCACCGTTCGCCTGCTCCAGCCAACTTGCACGCATGCGCTCGTCCGTCCTCACGCGCCCACCCCCGCAGCCACACACACGACCCATTCCATCACCACGCTTGTGCATCTATGCCGTTGCACCAGCGCCTGCTCCAGCCACGCGGTGTTCGATGCTCCCCAGGACCTTCGGAGGCCCGCGGGCCGCAGGGGCCACTCCACGAGCCGCGCCTCGTCGAGGGCGCCCTGGGCGCATCAGATCGTCGCGAACGGGCGCCGGACGCCCGAACTGCGGCCCGAGAAGCAACCCGAGGGGAAAGGAGGAGGAGGAGGAGGAGGAGGAGGAGGAGGAGGAGGAGGAGGAGGAGGAGGAGGAGGAGAAGTGCAAGGAGGGGAGAGGAGGAGGAGGAGGAGGAGGAGGAGGAGGAGGAGGAGGAGGAGGAGGAGGAGGAGGAGGAGGAGGAGGAGGAGGAGGAGGAGGAGGAGGAGGAGGAGGAGAGGAGGAGGAGGAGGAGGAGAGGAGGAGGAGAGGAGGAGGAGGAGGAGGAGGAGGAGGAGGAGGAGGAGGAGGAGGAGGAGGGGAGGAGGGAGAGGAGGAGGAGGAGGAGGAGGAGGAGGAGGAGGAGGAGGAGGAGGAGGAGGAGGAGGAGGAGGAGGAGGAGGAGGAGGAGGAGGAGGAGGAGGAGGAGGAGGAGGAGGAGGAGGAGGGAGGAGGAGGAGAGGAGGAGGCGGAGGAGGAGTGAAAGGAGGAGGGATGTGCACCTCTCTCACGGAATGGATCGCTGCATCGGCAGTCCTGTTACACCTTCGGACACGCACGGAGCGGCACATTTCTTCTGCCAGCCCCTAGCCACTCATAAGTACTTCTGCCATCTCCACACCTGGCTCGCCGCCCTAAACATGCCTCCAGCGTTGCATGAGCGCCTGCACGAACCGCTTCTCTGAAACACTCCGCACCTACTTTGACACACTTGCGCGAGTGTTCTCTTCCATCATCACGCGTCCACCCACGCAACCACCTGCATGGCCTATTATATTACCATGTCTGTGCTTACTCTGCCGTTCCACCAACGCCTACTCCAGCCACTTGTTTCGCACGCCCCCATTCAACGCTCCATGACACCTGATCTGATGAATCTGCGCGCCTGCACGCCTGCATGATCGGCCCCCCAGAGCGATCAGACCCGCTGTCAAGGCGACTCAAGAGGGCCACGAATCGCTCCAATACGGTTTCGAGACCCCAGGAGCGCTCCAAGAGGACCTCCGAGGGCCCCACGAGGCAACCATCGCTTCATTTTCTTTGGGAAACGTACATGTTTAGGATATGCGTTGTTTGGTTCAAACACCGCCCAAGAAGGCCCAAGAGGCCCCAAGGGGGCGCCTAGACGGCCCAAGAGGGCCCCAAGACGGTCCAAGAGGCGCCCAAGACGGTCCAAACGGGCCGCCAGAGTCGTCGCCACGGCTGGACGCAGCTCCGAAAACTGGTGCAGACCCAGGGAGGGGTCCGGGGACTCTTTTTGATCGGATTTGGCGGAGGGAAGGGTGGCGCGGCGCGTGGGGTTGAGCCCTTAGCTCTAAGGCGTGCCGCGCGCCCAGCACTAGTTTTAGGAGGAGGTGGTGGCGCGGCGTGCGGGGTGGGGCCTCAAGCGCTGAGGCGCGCTGCGTGCCCAGACCGCGGACACGACCGCGGATCAGAAACCTTGTCCTTTGCTCCCCTCGGTGCATCTCCCACGTGCGATTGGCCCAGGTGGGGCAAGGCATGCTCTCTTCACCGGGTGTCGGCGGCGCGCGCAAGCGAGCGGGGCGAGGGAAGGGGGTTGACCCGTCTCGCGTTTTCAATAATACTTTTGAGAGTTTCCAGACCTTGAAGGTATGCAGGGTATGATGGTACCACAGATGGTCGTGATGCAGCATGATGGCGCCAAGGGGTGCCATCATGATGCCGCAGGGGCACTCCTCCTCCAATGGTCGGTGGGGCGCCATGCGAACTTTCTTTCCAGGGCCGTAGGCCGAGATCACTGTGGGGCACGACCTGTTGGAAGGGGAAATCGAAATATGTGTGTGTGTGTGGTGACGCCGTGATGTTCTTCCCAGTCCAGCCGTACGCGGAACTCCCACGATCCGCATGAAGGGTGTGCCGAAACGGGCGGAGCGGCGGAGTTCGAACCTTGTCTCTAGGGCCGTTGTTAGAGCTCCCTGCGGGGCACGATCAGCTTCAGGCGTGAGTGCATAATGCGTGGTGTGCCTGGGGGCCCAAACCCTGGGCCGGCACGCCCTCTCGGATTTCCCCCCCCTCTTCGGCACCGGACAACAGGACCCCCTCCAGGGCCTCCCAGTGGCTTCGGATAACAGCTCCAGGGGGGCACGAATAAGCGACGAGAGCGGCACAACAGGGCCCAAGGGCAGCTCGAACATCCCCAAGACGGCTCAAAACGGCCCAAGCGGCCCCCCAGACGAGCCCAGGGGACCCGAAGAGCACTCCTCCAGGCGACAAGAATCAAGGGTTTCCAACTGGTTGATGCATGATTTCCTCATATTTGCCTTTCCGCTCCTCGGGGCGCCCACGATGGGCCAAGAGACGACCCTCAAGTTTGCCCTTACGCTGCCCGAACGAGCCCCAGGAGGGCCCCAGGAAGGGCCCACGACGGTCCAAGAGGGGCCGAAGATGGCTCAAGAGGGCCCTAGATGAAAGTAAGGTCATGACCATTGCTGGCTTATTTGTAAAACTACCATCGCTGGACAGCGCTCTACTAATACATAATCGCATGCTGCATGGCTATGATGCCAGAGAGGAGGCGCGCATCGATGACGCTGGCAACCAATCGCGGGCCGATGTCCGCAAGGCCAGTAGAGGTGTGCAGCACTGGCGCGGGGTCCTCTGCACTGTGGTTGTTTTCCTGATAGTGGTCGGCAGCGGCTGGATTTCTGATTCCATCGCAGCGCCACTGCTTCCCGTCGAAGTGTCCGTTCCTGGCCGTGCCCTGGAAGCCGCGGGTACGTCAGGAGCGGTGGCTTCTCGCCCGAGTTGTCGGCGTCGGCCGAGAGGAAGAGGGAGGGGAGGGGGGGGGGAAGCGGAGGAGGCGGGAAAGGAAGAGGGGGAGCACACACGATGCCTTGCGCGCAGTCCACGCTGCGCCTAGGCCTCCGTCTGGAGTGGTTATCGCCTCGGTTAGACGAGGCGGCATACGTAGTTTCTGCCAAGCTTCGATCTTTGTGACGCTCACATGGTAGATGTTGGGCGTTTGATTTCTGTTCCCGCCCCTCGCTGGAAAACTCGCGGTCCTCGCCGGCTGCATGCGCGCACGGCGCACGCAGGTTGCCCTGTGACCGTGGCCGGCGGACCCCAGGGCTCCAACGCTCTGGGCTCGCCCCTTCTGCCGTCTCATGGCTCGCGGGACCGCCGCACGTGAAGGTGCCGGGGCGGGGCGGCACCTTTGCATCCACATGCATGCTCATCACGTTTCGGTTTCAGTTGTCGAGTGCCTGCGCCCACCGTTTTTTTTTGTTTTGTTTTTGTTTCCCCTCTTTTGTATATACATATATACATATGTTATACCACTGCAGTGGAGGTCGCCTGCCTCGAGATTCTAAGTTTGCGTGGTCAATTACGGAGCCTGGACTCCGATTCATAGTTTGGCGTGTCGGGCCGTTTCCCGAGCCCGGACTCGCGCTACGGCTCGCCTATTGCTGGTTGGCCTTAGCGGTGCTCCTGGTGCTTTGGGTTCTACGCTTCCTCCTCCTCCTCCCCCCTCCTCCCTCCTACTCAGATTACCGACGGGATGGACGACGACAACATGCAACCGCAAATCCGCAAGGTCTGGGCGGGGTCATACCAGGAGTGTTGTTCAACGGCAGACACCTTTGCTGTGTTCTTCCCAGAGGGCGCCGACGAGAAGCCGAAGGCTGGCCTGCTTGGCCTCACATTCTTGTTGGATTTCACGGTCTTCGAGCGCCAGGGTCAGGACGCTGACACACCAACCCGCTGGACTACAAGGATTTCAGGAGAGGAGGCGGACGCGTTCGTGGAGTATTGCTTGCAGACGCAAGGGCGGGCAATTGTTCTCCCTCCTCCCCCTCTCCTTGTCGCCCCCCTCCCCTTCCCTCCCCTCCCCCCTCTGCGCAGTGCCACAAAGCTTGCTGACTCGTCGCGCACGTCCCTCACATCATGCATGCAGGTCGCACCACTTTTTTCTAGAATCGTGCCCCGCCCGTTCACGCGCCAACCTTCTGGTTGGACTGGTCCTCTGCTGCTGCCTGACCGCGGCAGTATGCAGTGCCAGGTCGGACGCGTCGGCGCGAGATTTCGCGTGGGCAGCTTTGCCCATCCAACAAAAATTATGATTTCGGCTTCTCGGGGACATTATTCAAAAGCTTCTGGGCCACCCGCAGCCGTTTTTGCGCTGTCTTAGAGCAATTTGAACGCATGCTGGAGAGGAGGCCCTGGGGATATTTGGTAACCGTTTTGGGGCTGGTTCGGGAGCCTCTTGAGCTGCCTCGGGGCCCTCTTGAGAGCCTCTTGGCCTTTGCTGGGGCCGTCTTGGGCCCCTCTTGGGCCGTCTTGGGGCTCTCTTGGATCTCTTTGGCCCTTGTACGCCCAGAGGGCTGGTATCAGTGGAGAACTGCCAGGAGTTGCTGAGGACATCCGAACATGTCCGAAACCTGCCGAGCTTGATTCTGTTGCCTCGCTTGCTCCTCCCCGTCGGGTCTTGCACCCTTACTCGGCATTCTTTCCGTACCTCTGTGCCTGAGTGAATTTCCTCCACCCTGCCCTCCGCTCTGGGGTCTCTGCTCAGGCCGCGCCGCGAGGCCACGTCGCCCTCTCCTCACTCCCCGCGGTCTCGCCCGCAGCCGCCACGCGGATCATGGAGAGGGAGTTGCCGCCAGTTGGCGAGGGGGACCCGGTGGCGGTGCGGCTGACCGTGCAGAGGGGCCCGGAATTCGTCGAGCTCTCCGCGCGCAGCTACGTGTGCTCAGTGGGCATGGACACCGCCCTTGCACTGCTCGCGGACGCGCTCACCGCGGAGCTGCAGAGGTCAGGCGTCCGCTGCAGCGGCGTCATGATGCGCGCCGGCAACCAGACGCTCGACGCCAGCCAGAAGCTGAGGGACGGCTGCACAGTGCCGACCGCGAGGAGGAGGCAGCGAGGCTGCAGGCTGGAGATCGCGTTCAGCGTCAAGAGGCACTGCCAGCGAGCAGACGGAGTCCCTTCCCCGCGCATCTCCCTGTCAGCCGAGGAGGTCTCATGGGGGCTGCTGCCAACTCGCTTCACCCTCGGCGATGAGCTGGGCCGGGGGTCCTATGGCCAGGTGCGGGCGGCATGGGACGCCATCTCTGGCGATGTCGTGGCAGTCAAGTGCGCCAAATGCAGGTTCGACAACTTGGTGATCGCCAAGAGGTTGCTGCGCGAGGTGCAGCTTCTTCGCCAGGTTGACAGCGCTCACCTGGTGAAGCTGCGAGACGTATGCCTGGCCGATGGCGAGACGCCCTCGTCCTTCAACCAGCTGTTCCTGGTCTTCGACAAGTGCGAGGGAGACCTGCAGGAGATGATCTCGCGAGGCCCGGCCCTGGAGGAGACCCGCGTCGCCCAGCTCCTGCAGGGAGTGCTGGGCGGCGTCGCCTGCCTGCACGACCTCTCCATACTGCACAGGGACCTCAGGACCGCCATGCTGCGTGGAGGAGGAGGAGGAGCAGGAGCAGGATCAGGAGAGGAGGAGGAGGAGGAGATGAAGGAGGAGGAGGAGGAGGAGGAGGAGGAGGAGGAGGAGGAGGAGGAGGAGGAGGAGGAGGAGGAGGAGGAGGAGGAGGGAGGAGGCGGAGGAGGCGGAGGAGGAGGAGGAGTCGGGAGCAGGCTGCGCGGCGGGAGGTGACATGTCCCCGCGCCTCGAAGCTGCACTCGGCAACGCCGAGCGCTCGCGGGAGCCGGCTGGCCCGCGCGCGTGCCCACGGGCGCGTCGGCGACGAGGGCCCCGGCGGACCCGAGAGGGCACGCTGCCCAGCCGCTGGCCTCCGAGGAGGAGGCCAGGGCCGACCCGCATGCCGCCCGACCGGGGAGACGGCGGCCCACGAGGGCCCTAGTCCACCCGAAGCGACAGGGCAGGGCAGGGCCCCCCCAGGCTTGAAGGACCAGCAGTCGCCCGAGCCGGCCCAGCAGGCCGCGCTCCGTCGGAGCGCGCCCCTCTCCTCGCAGGGGCCCGCACCCGCCTCGGAGCCCGAGTGGCAGCGCCGAGTGCGCCTGCGCGCCCGCCCCGTGGCCGCCGCCTTCAGCAGCAGCTCGGGGGCGGCGCCTCGCGCGCCGTCCGCCAGCAGTCTGCCAGCAGCCAGTCGTCCCACCTCCTGGGGCGTGGCCGTTGCGTGCAGGGCCCGCTCCAGCACGTCGGGGATCTGGTGCGCCTCCCTCTCGTGCTCCCGCAGCTCCCTCCTCAGGCGCTCCAGGCCGATCCGATGCGCAGGGACGAGCTCCCTGCTCCACTCAGCCCCGTGGCCGACTTGCAGTGCCCTGTTGTGCAGTCCCCGCTGAAGCTCCTGCATTGCCCGCGAGGTGCGCCTGGCTTCAGCCAGCTGCACGCCCAGCTCGAGCCTGGGCTCCACGTCGGCGCTGGGTGTGCGGTGCCGCCCACTGCCCGCCCCTCGCCCATCACCTCGTGCGCGCCCCCTCTTCCGCACGTTCTGCGCGCACGCCCCCGTGCTCCTCCTTCTGGACGTCGCCGCGGGCCACATCGTCGTCCTGGGTGGTGCTCGCCACTGTTGCCGCCAGAGCCCTCCCTGCCACCGATGCCGTCTCTGTGCCACGCCCTTGTGCTCGTGCTTATGGAAGTCGCCGTGGGCCAGCTTGCTGTCGGAGGTGGTGCTCGCCTCTGTTGCAGCCAGAGTCCTCCCCACCGCCGATGCCGTCTTCGTGCCCGCGTACTTCACGCCTTTGTGTTCCTCGTTTTGGAAGTCGCTGCGGGCCAGCTCGCCGTCGGGGGCGGTGTCTACCCCAGGTGCCGCCGCTGCTCCCCCCTCCGCCTATGCCGCCGCCTGGCCGCCCTCGCTCTCGTCGTCGAGCGTGGTGTCCTCCGTACCCGTGCTCGATGGCGCCCCCGGAGCTTGCGACTATCTTCTTGCCGCTACTAAAGCCCCCCCTGCCGCCGATGCCGTCTTCACGCCGTCCAGCTGGAAGTCGGTCGGGCCCAGCTCTCCCTGATCCCGCCTGTCGCCTCCAGCTTCGACTTGGGCTCGCGCTCGCCCTCGATATGCCCCTCGAGCGTCCCTTGGAGCTCGTCGACCTGCGTGCGAGTCTTCTGGAGCTCGGCCGCGAGCTCGCAGTAGGCGTCAATGTGGGCCCAGAGCTCCAGGTGCGACCCCTCGTGGGACTACTCGTCTGCGTCGCCGAAGTGATGCAGGAACACCTCAGCGCCGCCGATAGTCACGAAGGCCTTCATGCCGTCCAGCTCAGAGGCGTTGATGGGGTACGGGATATCCTGCAGAACCTCCATCCGCTGGAAGTCGTCGTCGACCTCGTCATGCAGGTCGAGGTCCACGGACCCTGCAGCACGCGTCGCCTCGCTGGAAGCTGCGTCCGTGCCGCACTCCAGCCACCTGCGCACTGCCGCCATGATCTCCTCCACCTCCCCTGTGTGCCTCAAGAGCCGACTGGCAGCGTCCAGCTCACGCCAGGCGCGCTCCAGGTGGGAGGGGGGCCTTCGCCCTCCGGCTCGAAGCTGGGCCAAGCCCTTGACGAGCGTGGCCTCGCCCAAGGTCGCCACCAAGCTCGGCCGCCATGCCGAGGATCCGCTGCGCGCGGCCGCCCAGCTCGGGCAGCTCCAGCGCCGCTCCCCCCGGCGCAAGCTCGGCTGTCTGCTCCCTCTGCTGGCGCGGCGCCTCGCCCTGCAGCTCCAGCATTAGAGCGGCCGCCGCGTCGATCGTCGGCGCGGTGACGGTGGCCATGCCATGACGGACGACCGGCCCCCCTTTTGCCACTGCTCACCATGGCGGCGCTGCAGGGCGGGTCGAGGCGCGCGCGTCCCAGGGCCGCGCAAGCCAAGGAGCCCCAGCCGCGGTGGCGCGCCCCCGTGCCGATTCAGCCAGCCCCAGCCGAATCCTGAGCCCAAATGGCTACGGACAGGAGGAGGAGGAGAAGGAGGAGGAGGAGGAGGAGGAGGACCAGTGCAAGTCCAAGAGTCATCCACGATTTTGGAATTAACCCTCCCTCCAAGCTTCCTCTTCATAGGCCCTACAACGGTTCATTTCCATTGAGGGAACTGCCTCGCTGGAAGACAACCGTTTGAAGATCCGGACGCATGCCTAAACGTGGTTCTCGGGATTTCAGGGCCACGGATCAACCTGACTTCTGCGTCTTGACGATCCGGACTCGTGCCAGAACGCCGTTTTTGGAATTTCAACACCGCGAATAAACATACCTGTTGCGCCCTCATAATCCTGAATCTTTCCAACACACAGTTCTGGTACGCTGATCATGGAAATCCGTGGAATTCTTACAAGATTTTACAACAGATGTGCCCAATGCTAAGGCGAGAGCCACGTATTGAAAACCACCTGCCCTCAATCCGTGAAGCAATTGCAAATGTTTAAAACGAATGTGCGCGGCGCTCACGCGAGAACAACATTTTCAAAAGAAGCCTCCTCCAATCCGTGAAACGCTTGCAAATGTTTGAAACGAATGTGCGCGGCGCTCAGGCGAGAGCCACATTTTGAAAAGGAGCCGCCATCAATCCGTGAAGCTCCTTGTAAATTTGTAGAACGAATGTGCGCGGCGCTCAGGCGAGAACCACATTTAAAAAACCACCAGCCTTCGATCCGTGAAAGTATTATAAAAAAACGAATGTGCGCGGCGCTCAGGCGAGAGCCACATTTTGAAAAGGCGCCGCCCTCAATCCGTGAAGCGCTTGCAGGTTGTTTAACGAATGTGCGCGGTGCTCAGGCGAGAGCCACATTTTGAAAACGGCCCGCCCTCCATCTGTGAAGCTGTTGTCGCTTTTTAAGCTTCAGAGTTATAAGTAGTGAGGAAGGCTCAGGGGAAACGCCTGGCCCGCACTAAAAACTGGCCTCGGGGTACGACAGGGAAAAGTTATCCATAAGGAAAAGTAATGGGGGAGGAGGAAGAGGAGGAGGAGGAAAAGCTTGAAGCTTGGCGGCGCGGGGTCCCAGTGGGCGGCGACGCGCCGAACTGCCGCTTTCTGGGCGGCTTGGAGGACGCAGGCGGCGGGCGAGGTGCAGCGCGGCCTCGGCGCTGCCTCTCTCGCGGACGCTCCCGCAGACCCGCGCGAAGCTTGAGGAGGCGCGCTCCGAGCTCGGGCGCCGGGGCGCCGAACCCCCTTCAGGGGCCACGCTGGCCGCAGCGCTCCGCGAGGAGACGCTACACAAATGGGTCGTCGCGATGTTTCACAAGACGACGCACGCTGCTGCCATGCAGCGAGTGGATCTTCGCAACCAGGCCAGTCTGCTGCTGGCCAGCGGACCTGGGGCGGCCGGGTTTATGCAGTACCCGACGGAGCCGCTGCAGTCCGCCAAGCAGGAGGCAACGAAGAAGTCGAAGCAGTGGGCCGAGCTGGTCAGCCCTGACGGCACCGAGGGCATCGTCCCGCCACGAGGAGCGCAGTCGCAAACCCGAAGGACGCAAGCCGTATGCGAATGATTATGGTGGTGATGCTGGCGCTGCTGGGGCCTTCAGTGACTAGCCAGCAGTCTCAAGTGCCCGTAGAGCACCAACAAAGCCTTATGACTATCTTCGGGACCGCGACTTTCTCTCAGGCCAACGTTTCTGCAACTGGAGAAGTGGGTGATATGTCATTCGGCTTTGCCAACACTGCCATTTTGAATGTTCGAGCTACAAGCTATGTCCTAGATTCGTTTTGGCTGCTTATATATATATATATATATATATATATATATATATATGTATATACACACATGTGAATATTCATATATGTATAGGTATGTATGTATGTATATATATATGTATATATATAGATATTGACGGAGACGCACTTCCCTCTGAGGCAACGTGGACCAGTTCGGAAACGCTTAAAGAAGAAAGGTTGGACAACATTCGTTTGTCCAGCCATCGACGCGTCCGATGGTCGCGAGGCTGGTATCGCGATGGGCGCCAGGTCCCACCTCTTTTCTCATGCTCGTATCGTGGGGGCCCAGGGAGTCCCAGACCTCTTGTAATGGGGGTTCGCTGGGCGAGCGCAGCCATGCACCTAGGCAAATAGCTTCCTCATGCTTGGCATCTATCTGGTTTTCGGTGCGGGCGTGAATCAGGCCAATCGCGGCATCATCAAGGACAGCGTTTCTCATGCTGAAACGTGCAAGTTGCCCTTGCCGGCGACTTAAGCGTGCCCTCTTTCTGAGATCAACCGCCCCGTGCAGTGGCTGCCTCGGGTCGCCGGGGTGGTCGTCGCGCCGCCGAGCGCGTCCTGGACGTGGTCGAATGGCTTCCGCATGATTGGTTATGGCGTTGTAGACCAGAGGCTGGGCTTTGTCGATTAAGCTAGGTGCTGCCCAGGAAGGCCCCTGGAAGCCGCGCTTAGGCATTGCAGGTATCTCGGTGCGTAGCAGGGCGGCGCCGCTCCCTCCAACTACCGCTGAGCCCTGATGTCTTGAAAGTATTGTCATGAGAATGCGAAGGGGGATGTCTCAGAGTCCCACTTGGTTCCGACGCGCCCTTGGAGTTGATTGAGCGCTTATCGCCGCGAAGTCGGAGATCCATGTCGCCTCGCCCGGGGGCAATGCGCCAGTTTTGAACGCCGAGCACTCCCCCCCCGCGGGCGCGCGAGGGGTTGGAGACCAACATGGCCAGCAAGTGGAACGTTCCGCGCGCGCGCGATCGGGGCGCGCGGCGGCGGCGCGCCCGAGCTCCCCAACCAGCGGGTGCTATCCAGCATCTCATCCAGAAGGTTTGTTTCCAGCGTCGGCTGCCTAGAGCATGCCGCCCAGAGCGCCTGCGACACTCCCGGGCGGGTGGGGTGGGGGGTATTTCGTAGGCCGAACTAGCGACAAATATGCGTTTGAGGGCGCCTGCGGGATTCTCACCGGGATCGAAATTCATAAGTTTCTCGAGAAGATAGATCAGTATGTTCAGTTGCTTGAAAATAGGAAGGCCAACGAGGAGCTCCAGGAATGGCTCGAGGCGGACGTGGGGGAAAAAAAAGAAGACAAAAAAACAAGAGACATGCATCCCGCGCCATCACCAATGCCCAGCCCCCGCCAACTGAAGAACGGGGTTCGATCGTTGTCAAAGGAGCCCTTTCGGACGACCCCATCCTCCTCGCGCGGCGTGGGCTCACTTACTTGGATATGCGTACGGCGGCTTGTTCCCCTCATCTTGGTTGCTCGCCGCGAGGCCGTGGGGGGCCCCCCCATGGGGCCAGGTGAGGTATTCGAGATTGTTCGCAAGTCTAGTCCCAGTTCTGCGCGAGGAGATGACGCGTGGAACCTGCGGGAGTTCGACTTTTCCCCGACCGACGGCGGCGAGGCTTCCACCAACCTGACCAGCCAGGTCAGGCTGACATCCAAGTTTCCTGCTCAAGAATTGTTGCCTCTGGTGCGCCTCACCCCGCAGGAGATTGAATCAGACCGCCCCATCACCCGCACGTGCAGTTCCCTCGGTATTTTGATCCAGCCCGAGAGACCATTCGTTAGGCGAGGCTCTTCAAGCTAGAGGTCGCCGTCTCCCCCCCGAGTCCTGCGCGATCAGCTCCGCCCGGTCCGTCGGCCGGGCCATCTGCGCTGAGCTGGGCCCGCGCGGGTGGGAATTCAGGTGGGCCGGACTCCGACGCCGCGCAGGGGCGCGGGCGCGCGCTTGCCGCCCGGGGCGACAGGTCCTGCGCGGGCAAGGGGCCCTGCGGGCTCGGGGCCATCGCCGACATCTCTGAGGACCTTGAGGGCTCGGCGCCAGGTCTCCACGGGCCCGGGGCCGAATCTCACCCGCTCTGGGGCCCTCGGGGGCATGGTGTACCCTCCGCTCAGCTTAGCTCGTTCGGGGTCGAATTCTTCGAGGGCTGGGGCGCGCCCCGGAGCGCGGCTGCGCCGCCGCTGGACTTGCGCAATCGCCGAAAGGGCAAGGGCAGAAAGATCCTGATCGCTATCTGCCACTTCAGATCTTATCCACCCGGCTCGAGAATGCCAATCAGGACACCGCGCTGCGCGCTGCCATCCGCCGGCGCTGGGCCCCGACCGTTGAAATTATATCCGGGGGGGGGGGGGGGGGGGGGGGGGGCGAGGCGGGGCAAGGTTGTTTCTCGCGTCCCGGCCGCGGTCGCCGCCGCCCCGGACTGCGACGCGTACCCGGCGGGGACCTGGGGCCAGGTCCTCCCTGATCAGCAGGAAATCGGCACGTGGGCGGGGGGGTGGGAGTTCCAGATAGCGACTGCGAGCGTGCACGCGCCCTCGAGGAAGCTTGCCAGGAAAGCGGGCCGTCCACCGCGGCGAGCTCTACTCCGCCAGTCAGACCCTCACTCACGTTCAGGGCGATGCCACCGTGGTCTTGGATTCCATGTGTGTCTATTGGGGAGCTCTGAGGGGACCTAGGTGGAAGCCGCGTTCGAATGCAGATTTATGGCTTGATTTTTGGGCAGCTTATGAGGCCCATGACGGGCCTGTCGAGTTTCACAAAACCAACTCCCACCCCATTTATGATGATTGGGACAAGCGTGATATACGGCAGTGGGCCTATCGAGCCAATTCGTTTGCCGACGAGATAGCCGAGGAAGCGACCTCGAACCTTCAGCTTCCCTAGACAGTGACTGCTTGACTGTCTCGACGCCGCCGACGCCGAAATATTGCTGATTTCGGCCCGTCTTGCCACAATCCATGTCAAGTTCTGGGGTGAATTCAAAGTGCCCCTCTTCGGCCCAAGCAGCCTCGGCCTCCCCGAAAGTGGGGGCATGCCGAACATGTTTTGGAGGATTGAAAACAAGAGCTTAGGTGCAATCTATGTTGCAGATACCAGCTCGCAGGGCAAAAGGCGCCCTGTCCGGATAAACCTCGCACCTAGTACAAACGTTTGGGATATCATCTTACCCACATTCCCCATGTGCGCGTTTACAGGGAAATTGCATTTCACTCGAGGTGTCGTGGCTGGAGTGATTCGATTTGTTCGAATTGACAGTGAGTGTGATCCTGCAACAAGTCACGGGCTTGAGAGCTCGCATTTTTTTAATTATTTTTTATATATATAACATGTTGCCCCAGGGGTTGCCAAACTGGCCTTTGTCTGTCGACGCTCGCTCCCAAGAAGAAAGCGCGAGAGCTATGGGTGTCCCGCCACAGCGCATCAGTTGTTAAGCTGCCAGCGAACCCTCGGAATGCAAGGCGCCCCCTTTTGCGCAGGCAACATGGCAACATGGAGGAGGAGGATGAGGAGGAGAAGGAGGAGGAGGAAGAGGAGGAGGAGGCAGAGGAGGGAGGAGGGAGGAGGGAAGAGGAAAAGGAGGAAAAGGAAAAGTAGCAGGAGGGGAAGGAGGAGGAAGAGGAGGAGGAAAAGGAGGAGGAGGAGGAGGAGGAAGGGAGGAGGATGAAGAGGAGGGGAAGGAGGAGGAGGAAAGGGAAGAGGACGAGGGAAAAGGAGGAAAAGGGAGGAGGCTGAAAAGAGGAGGAGGAGGAGGAGGAGGAGGGAGAGGAGGAGGAGGAGGAGGAGGGAGGAGGAGGAGGAGGAGGGAGAAGGTGGCCTTGGCGGGGCCGTCCCAGGCCCGCCAACTGTTTGCTCAGCAGGGACGGCAAGGTTCTGCTGTGCGACCTGGGCCTGTCGAAACACGTACCAGGCTCCACAGCAGCGGCCCCGCCGCCCCCGGCGGATTTTGCCCGGCAGGTCTCGGGCCCTCTGGTCTCCAGGTGCCCAGGCCTACCAAATTTGGTTCGAGTGTTTAGCGGGGGCCGGAGGATCACGCCGCATCGCCGATGCATCGTCGATGCGGCTCGATGCGGAGCCCGATTTGCTCTGCGCTGGCGTCGCCGATCCACCGCCGACGTCGCGGATGCATCGCCGATGTGTCGGTGATGCATCGACGATGCGGCGCGATGCTCCGACTGCATCGATTCGGACCCCACTTGGGAGGCTTCTCCAGGTGGTACAGGCCCCCAGAGCTGTTACTCTCGGCGCAGTATGGCGAGCCCGTGGACCTGTGGGCCGCCGGCTGCATCTTCGGCGAGCTGCTCCAGCTCGTGCCCTCCGGCGGTGGCTCGCGGCCCCTCTTCCCCGGGAAGTCACGAGCGGCGAACGTGCCCATATCCGCACCCTCGCGGTCTGGGCTCCGGGGCGCGATCCCGCGGACGAGTATGCGGTCGCACGTATACGTTCCGCGGGGGGCGTCCGCGAAAGAGCGCCCCGCATCCGCGGGGTCGCGGCCTCGGGGCCCAGCCCGCGATGCTGCGGATGCGGAGATGTCCTCCGTCCACGAGGAAGGGCAGCGCGCAGTCCCCTGAGAGCTCGAGCCTGGACCCCAGCGGGGACATGCTGGCGGTCATCTGGCGCGTCCTCGGCCCGCGTGGCGAACTCGGCGAGCTCGCCGCACAGCACGCCCGCGCCATCGCCGACGCTGAGGCCGCCTCCGCCGCGTCGCCTGGCGTCCCGCTGAGGGAGCTGCTGCCCCTGGCTTCCGACAGCGCGATGAAGAAACCGCTGCATGAACAGCGACGTCCGGAGGTCCGGGCGCGGACTTTTCCTGGCTCGCGGAGCGCGCCAGGGCCGGCGCCAGAGGCGCCGTCAGCGGGGCACACCGCCGATCTGAGAACATTTCTGTGCAGACCTCTGGAAGTCAATGGTATGCCGTGTTTCTTCTTCGGACAGCGCCTTCAGACTGCTGCGCGAGCTGCTGGCCTTCGAGCAGGCGGCCAGGCCCTCGGCGCGGCGCGCGCTCGTGGAGGAGGAGGAGAAGGAGGAGGACCAGTGTAAACCCAAGAGCCATCAACGATGTTGGAATACACCCTCCGTCCAAACTCTCTTAGGCCCCCACAACTGTTCATTTCCATTGAGGAAACTGCCTCGTTGGAAGACATCCGCTTGAAGACCCTGAAGCAGGCGAACACATTGTTCTCGAGATTTCAACGCCACGGGTCAACCTGTCTGTTGCGTCTTGACGATCCTGGATCGTGCCAGAACTATTTTTTTCTGGATTTCCACACCGCGAATCAACGTAACTGTTGCACCCGCAAAATCCTGGATCCTTCCAGACAAAAGTTCTGTTACGTTAGTCATGTGAACCCTTGAAACTTTTTGCAAATGGTAGAAATGAATGTGCGCGGCGTTAAGGCGAGAGCCACATTTTGAAAATGGGTCGCCCTCAATCCGTGAAACACTTGCAACGTTTTAAGAAGAATGTGCGCGGCGCTAAGGCGAGAACCGCATTTTGAAAATTGGTTGTCCTGAATCCGTGAAGCTCTTGCAAATGTGTAAAGCGAATGTGCGCGGCGCTAAGGCGAGAGCCACATTTTGGAAACGGGTCGTCCTCAATCCGTGGAATTCTTGTATTATTTTAGAACGCATGTGCGCGGCGCTGAGGCGAGAGCCACATACTGAAAACCATCCGCCTTCCATCTGCGAGACTGTTCCCAGGCGGAGCGCCCGGCCTGCCCTAAAAACGGGCCTCTGGATGCGACAGGGAGAAGTTGTTTATAAGGAAAACGAATGAAGGGGGAGGAGGAGGAGGAGGAGGAGGAGGAGGAGGAGGAGGAGGAGGACGAGGACGAGGAGGAGGAGGAGGAGGAGATGGAGGAGGAGCAGGGATCTGGGCTCAAGGTCGCGTTCGTGAATTGACCCCCGATTTCAAGGCCTGCCTGGGCAGGCTTCGGCGTCCTGGGGCCGCAATGGTGACTGCCCAGTCAGGGGTGACATCTGTCACTTCTCATTGCCACTGCCCCTGCCCACGTCAGGGCACATTGCAGTCTTGTCAGTTAACCCTCCGGAGGGTATGCGTTTTTGCAGACCTGGAGGTGCAGAGTAAGTGCCACTTCCATCCTGAATTCTGTATGGCGTTGCTCGTCTGGAAATGTTTTGGGGCAGGGTCGCTGGAGGGAGCCAAACCGTCGCCGAGAGCCGAGCAAAATGATAACGGAATTGGGTGCCCTCTCCAAGTCCAGACCGACCCCAAAACTCTTGTCCAACACGCCCAAAGATGTGCAGGCAGAAAGCTCCAATTGCAGACCGGGTCTCTGCTCAAGCCAATGACTCATGCCAAGTACCTTCCGCCGCCTTCTTCGACGGCCCAGCTGGCAGCGTAGAAACAGGCCCTACACCACTCCCTACATGTGTTTGCTACCCTAGTCGTGGCGACCGAGAGAGCTTGTACTTCGGCCCATCCCGCCACCGTGCCTGGGTTGTGGGTGTGAAGCCTACAGGATGTTCGTTGGGATCTCGTGGGAGGCCTTCCGGGGGCCTTTCGGAGGCAGTCTGGGGGCCTCTTAGGGGGCCGTTTGGGGGCCTCTCTGGGGCCTCCCTGGGCCCTCATGGGAGTCTTTTGGAGTCCTCTGAAGGCCTCCTGGCCGCCTCTTGGGACCTCCTCGGGGCTTCTCGGGGCAGAAGTCTTGGATTTTCGGTTCGTCTTCCCTCTCTTTGGCCCCTTTTGGGGCAGTTTGTTGTTGCCTTTTGGGCCGTCTTGGGCGCCTCGGGCTATCTTAGGGTGCCCTTCGGCTGTCTTGGGGCCCTCTCGGGGGCCTCTTGGGCCGTTTTGGGGTGGTCTTGGGGGCCTTCGGGTAGCTTTAGAGCGTCGGAAAGCCGGAAAGGCGAGAACGCTAACATCTTTCAACAACCTATGGGAAATCACTGATGGTTGCCTTGTTGGGGCCCTCTTGGGAGGCCTCTTGGAAGCTTCGTGGGGCGTCACCTTGAGGCCATATTGAGGTTCTTGGATTGATCTTTCGGCGACCCGGGGCCCTCTTGGACCGTCTGCGGGGCCTCGTGGGGCCCTCTTGGCCCGTCTTGGGGCCTTCCTGGGCCCGAACAAGTATGGCGCCATCACGCGGGGGAGCCCAGAGGGCACGCGACAAGGCTTTGTTGAATCGGAATTTGGGGCTTGGGCCCCTTAGGGACTCCTCGGAACTGAGGAATGAGGCTCCAGGGATTCGGCAAAAGGACCTGCGGACACGCTCACTCCGTGCCCAGAGGCACAGTGACGGACGAACGGCGATCAGACGGGCGAGATGTCCATGATCAAGTATTCTCTCAGCGCCCTGGAGCCCCTCAGGGGTCGTATCACCAAGCTCCAGACGCAGATCATTCAACAGCAAACTCGTCTGGACAAGATAACCGAGCGGATTTCCCAGCTATCGGAAGAGAAGGAATACGCCGAAGACAACACACATGCCATGGAGCAGCAATTGAAAGAGCTGAAGGACCAGGAGGCGCAGGAGGCGGCAGCGGCTGCCATGGCTGCTCCGGCGACGCATGCAAGTGCCCCACCCACCCAGCCCAGGGGCATGGGCCTGCACCGCATGGGCGGCCTCCGGCCTTCTCACCGCTAAGTGCCCTGGGGAGTGCCACAAGCAAAGCGACAGTGTCAGCCAATATTCCTCTATGGGCTCAGACGCCGTGTGCCAGCTCATGCATCAGATGATGCCTCTATCCAAAAGGCAACCGTGGACTTGGAAAAGTCCGCCTGGCAGACTGGCGTCCATTTCGCCCGCCACGGCAGATGCTGGAATGGCAGTTGCGCTGCCTTCCTCACGCATCAGCAGGATGGATATCTGTGTGGCTGCTATGGATTTTGAGAAGGCGTTCGATTCTGCCTACCACTCGCCAGTGTGGAAATCCCTGACAGAACAAGGCGTTCCCGACTTCTACATTCGAGTTTTGCGCATACGAGGGGCAGACAGGGCAGACCCTGCCCGACCGTGCGAGTGGCATCTTCAGGTTTGAGAGAGGTACCAAACAGGGTGATCCCATGAGTCTCACTTGACGCTGGCGAAGCTGGGCTGAAGCTGCTCATGGGGAAGAGAAAAATCGTTTCGAACGTTGCCAACAGGCGCGGGGCACTGTCGCAGTCTCACGTACAAGTTGGAAATGGCAAGGTTGAGGTGCTCCCCGTGGACGGAAGCGTTTCGTACCTGGTGCGAAAACTGTGCTTCCAGGGTCTTCGCGACGTAGAAATACAGAGCCACTTTGCGAAGGGTTGGGGGTCTTTTGGCAAATATCGGATGGTGCTCTGTAGCAAGCATTATATGTTGCGTTCCCGGCTTCGCCTCTTCGACGCCGCGGCCCCGTCGACTGTTCTATACGGGGGCGGCGCGTGGACCATGGCGGCGGCTCGAGAATCTCAGCTCCAGGCGGCATTGCGGAATAGACTTCGTGAGATGATTGCGACGCCACCGATGATGGCAGCCTCTGCGGGCGGAGTGGATGAGCCACGCGTGGATTGGATACGACGTGCGACCAAGAAAGCCGCGGGAGAGCACGAGAAGGCTGGGTTCCCGACGCGGGCGCAATCCCAGCGGCACCGCGAGGCCACTCTGCGCAGAAAACCATCGGCAGCACGGGCGGGAGATGGTCGAAAGCAGTGCTGGGTTGGACTCCAGGCGGGTGCCGGGCGCTAAGGCGGCCTCGGAGGCGGTGGACAGATGGCGTCAGCATGTAAGAGCTGTGGGAAGGTTCATACGTCGTCAGCTTTATGCATTTTCGCCAGCTTCAATAATCGTGGAAGAAGCTTGCGAGACATCGCGCGCGAAACCTGACGTCGTCAGCTTGTGGGAATTTCGCCCGGCAGCCCGAGCAGGGCGCGCTCCTGGCGCATGCCGGCCTTCGACGTCCGACCTCGACCTCGACCTCCCCCCGCATCACCAACCTCGCAGAAGCTGGCGACAAGAAGCCCAATGCTGGCCCGGAAAGGCCCCCCGAAAAATGCGTGCGCCTGCCAGCTCGAGATGGGCCGCCAGCGCAGCCCCCGTCAGCTCCCACGCCTGGCGGAGCGGCTGTGCACCTGCCAATCAGACCCCACCCCGCTCCTGGCACCGCTTCGAGAGAGCCCCATTCCATCCCGCTGACGCCGGCGGAGGCAGCGGCGTCGCAGGCCGCGGCGCAGCAGGCAGCTCAAGTCATGACAGGCTTTGCGCCGCAAAATCTGGAACTCTCTCCCGCGCAGACGTTTGGGGTCCACGGGGCTGCTTTCTCGTTAGAGACTGCGCCACTCAGAGGTCCGTCAGCCATCGAACCCGCCCGGCGCATGGCCCGAGCGCAGACGGAGCTCGCCCCAGGACCTGCCGCGTCGGCCACAGCGTTGTGATGAGGAAGCAGCAGTTTCCCAATCATAGCGCCACATCGGATCAGTCTGGCGTAATGGTTCAAATATTCGATCGCAGTTCTATGTCAATGTATGGTGCGGGCGTGGGTGGAGCTTTCGATTGGGTGGGCCATGTCCTCAACTGTCTGAGGGCGAAAGCCCCGCCCCCCTGCTTCCTCCTGGCCAGGGGCCCCTTTCGGCCCCCGCGTCGGGGCCCGGCGAAGCCCCCGCCTACGGCGCCAGCGTTGCCCCTGCGCTCCACGCGTGCGGGGCGCCCGCGATGGGGCCCCAAGTAAAGCGTTCGCTTCCAATTTGGTCGCGGCGAGGGGCCCGATGCCTCGACTAATTTTTCTGATGCGGCCGCGGCGCCCGCCGGGGCATTGGCGCGCGCCCCCGCCCCTCGCCCTTGCATTGGAACCTTGGGCAACATGTCCGAAAGCCGCTCAACAACTGCCCCCCCCCCCCCCCCGCTCTCTTGACCTGCCGCATTGCGTGCTGGGCGAAGATGTCGTGCTCGCCAAGCCGCCCAGAGCGCGCGCCCATTTGGGTTTTGAGGCGGGCGCGCCTCCCTGCGGCCCAGGAATCGCCCGCGTCGCGGCGGAGCAGTCCGGCCCCGTTCCCCT